TATATATATGTGTGTGTGTGTGTATATATACATGTACATATCCGCGCATATATAAAATTTAATTTACGCGATTTGCCTACAATTTCTAAGTGCTACAAGCAAAAAAAAATTTGTATACACTTATCCTTGTGATGACGAACATATATAGCAATTGTTGAGAATATTGTGTGATTGTGAAGCCGTCAGTGTGTCAGTTGACTAATTGATACTCAAAATATTCCATTGATTGATCTTCCGGCATATCATTCTCCATTATGGATTTTATATTATAACCGTTTAGTTTTAATGGATAGAGTCGTTGGTGGCTGCATTCTTGCAGTCGCATATGAATGTGTATGTATTCCAATCCTTTGGTGATCCTTTTTAGAAATTTTTCAAATACACTTTTGAGCATTTTTTCTTTTCGTTTTACGTTTCACTTTTCTCTTTAAACTTATAAGAAGGGGTATAGCAGAATTTCGCATTTTAGCGCGGCCTCAACAACTACATATTTCATAAAATTTAGAAGAGTTTTACCACATAAACACACGCTTATCGAATAAGACAAACAATTATAAGCAAACAAAAAAGTTTACTAAGTAAAGCTTTTTTAGTTATCATTATTATTATTATTATGATTATTATTATTATTATTTTTCATTTACTTATTTATTTTTTGTTTTCCTTCATATTAGGCATGTCTGTGTCTGCCAGGTTGCTAAGGTATGTAATTTTTTTTTTCAACTCCGCGACAAAAACTCACAAATTATATCACTAATGCTGCCTTTTGTTGCTGTTATCTTTGGATTCGTGCGCTTCCATGGTAGGACAATTGTTGGAGTGACGTGCTCGTGTTGGGAGGTGGAAGCTGCTTATCACACATTGTAGCATGAGATTTGTTGCAAATGTTGGAATGATGGTGTTGCAGCGACAGCGGCTGCTGCTGCTGTAGCGGCGGTAAATTGTGGAAAAGTCTGACCTAAATTAGCGGCTGCCGCCACTGCCGCAGCTCCAGAAGTGGCGGCCGCCAAATAGGGATGCATACGTTGCGTTCTCAAATACTGACGATACTTGCCACTCAATTTATCGGGATAGTGATGGTGATGGTGGGAGGATGAGGTCATTGCCGCGACCGCATTATGATTTTGACTGTGATGATAATGATTCTGAGAGTTCGTGTTCGTGGCGGTAGTGACGGCGGTTTGGTTTTGATGGTGATGATGGTGTTGTTGATGTTGTTGCTGTTGTTGTTGTTGTTGCTGCTGCTGCTGCTGCTGCTGTTGTTGCTGCTGCTGCTGCTGCTGCTGCTGTTGGTGATGATGATGGTGATGGTGATGATGATTGCGGCTATTGCCCGACGAGGCGGACGTACTTTGGTTTAATATGGGCGTGGTGTCGGGACCAGCCTGATAATTACTAGGAACTGTAGCCATAGGACTGCGATCCATTAGGAGACCAGCTACCGCTGCCGCTGCTGCTTGGCTGCTATTTGATGATGTAGCTATAGCAGCTGCCGTCGCAGTGGTAGCAGTTGTTATATCTTGTCCTGCTGTTGCCGACGAATTCCACATGGAGCCGACACTTATACATGACGAATGATGCTGCTGTTGCTGTTGTTGTTGTTGTTGTTGCTTATTGCTGCTATTATTCGTGGTTGCATTATTATTACTACTGTATATACCACTGCCGGAGATCATAGCATCTCTTTTACCAACATTAGCAGTTTTGCTAACATTGCCGTTGTTGTTGCCACCGTTTCCATTTGAAGTAGCCGCAGCAACATTTGCATTATTGTAAGATGACATTATATGGGCAGGTGTTATATTCGAACGGGCTGCTATGGCAGCGGCCGCTGCCATTTGATCCCATTGTGAATTGGTTTGTGGTTGTTGTACTATTAAATGTTGATGTTGTTGTGATGGATGATGACTTTGGCTTGTACGTTGTTGTTGTTGTTGAGTTTGAGAAGATCTTTGAGTCGATCTCCGCAAAGAGGAATTGTTGCTATGTTCTATATAATTATTTGCAGCGTTACTAACAGCTACCGGATTCGTTGAGACGGCGGCATTTTGGGAAAGAGTATGATGTTGCTGCTGCTGCTGTTGTTGTTGTTGATTTGCAGCAACCGGATAATGAGCCTGCTGAGACATTTGTGACATTTGCTGTTGCTGCTGCGACTGTTGTTGCTGTGTATGCCTGAGTTGTTGCTGTTGCTGTTGTTGCTGTTGATGTAAGTGTTGCTGATATTGTACAGCAGCAGCGGCAGCTGCTGCTTGCCGCTGTTGTTGTTGTTGCTGACTTTGATGATGCTGTTGCTGCTGCTGCTGCTGCTGCTGCTGTTGTTGTATAACCTGAGTTTGTCTAGCTCTTCTTGTAGTAGAGGCTAAAGTGTTTTGTGTACTATTTACCGCCGTTACCCCAGCTGTAGTACTTCCCACCCCCAATGCAGCCGCCGTTGTACGTGCTGCCGCCGCGGTAGGCATGTTATTTACAAAGGGACTACGCCGCTGCGATTCCATTTTACGAAAATAGCACGGATGTATCATCAGCAAAGGTTCAACACGTTGACCCGCCGGCGGCTTTGGCTGATTTGGCAGTTCGTATTCAACACTGCAATCAACATGCAACGGAATGCTATAATCCTTTGAGGAGGATGATGATGATGAAGATGACGACGTCGATGACGATGATGAAGTGGTTGTGTTTGCGACCACAACATTTGAAATTGTATTATTAGAGGCGGGTGTTAAAGCTGAGATAGAGGCATTTTGGTTACTAGAGTTGTTGTTATTATTGGTTGCTGTAGAATTATTACGTTGATTGGCAGTCTGCGAGACGGCGGCAACAGCAACAGCCACCGCGTGATTTCCTCCAGATGCACCTACGGCATTTTGTGAGGCTGCTGATGCCGCCGCCGCCGCCGCCATAGCGGATGATAAACGGCTTGAGGTCTGTTGTTGGTGGCTATTATAATGGCTTTGTTGTGGCTGCTGCTGCTGCTGCTGCTGATGTTGATGCTGGGTCTGATGATGATGATGGTGATGCCCATGAAGTGAATGATGTTGTTGCTGCTGCTGCTGTTGTTGCTGATGATGATGGTGTTGCTGTTGCTGTTGTTGTTGATGTTGGTGATAAAGCTGTTGACTATGATGATGCTGATGTTGTTGCATCACCGAAGTTTGAGCATTCGTCATGCTATGGGTGGCCAGTGTAGCCATGTCATAGTTAGCATAACAAGCTGCCATAGTCATTTTTAAATCTTTTTTTGTTTTTTTTTTTTTTTGTTTTCTTAACTTCACCCTTTTCTAATGAAACAAAAGATCTCTTTCTAGCTTTTTCGTGTCTTCCGTATTAAAGGGGATAACACAAAAGAGGGAGGTGGTGGGTCGTTAACACAGGTTTTTTTGGAATTTTCGGTTTAAACAACACTCCAGCACTCGTATTTCTTCTTTTTTTTCTCTCTCTTAGATGCTTTTAAGCATTTTTTTAAGATCTTTTTTATTATTTATTTATTTTTTTTACACAAAAACAAAATAATTTCTTAAATTTTTATTTTCAACTTTTCTTCTTGTTGTTTTTTACTTATAATTGGCACTGGTAATCCAAGCATATGGTGTTTCTGCTGTATTTTATATATGTTCATATATATATATATATATATTTGTATGCATATATATCCATTTGACAAATAATCCAGGAGGAGGTTTTCCATATATACATATATATGTATAAATATATATACATATATATATATATGTATAAATGAACGCGGTGTGTATGTGTGTTTGATGCTAATGATGTATTTAATATATATATTACGATTAATAATTTTAGCTGCTGCTGCTGCTGTTGTTAAACAGGAACGTTAATCCATTAAATGTTTTGATAAATATATATATATATTTATATGTATGTATTTGTAGGTATAAGTATGTATATATTTACTACTATATACTATTATTATTTAGCAGGTATTTAAGTTATATTTAATTACTTTTTACTAAATTTTCTGTTTTGCTTTAAATATTTTTGCTTGATTTTTATCCCTTTATTTTTCTGGTGTTTTATTTATTCTTTCTTTCTTTTTTTTATTATTTATTTTAGTTACTAATTCAACCCGTATTATAATGATTCGTGTTGCGATTTTCCTTGTTTAAATGGATATATGTGGTAATTTTTGTGGTTTTTTTCTAATAATCAGTCTTCTATTCTTTTTGTTTTATTTATTTATTTTATTTATTTATTTATTTATTTATTTTTTTTTGCTTAATAAAAAATTACTTTCTGTTTTATTTTTTTGTCAGTCTTTCTTTTTTTTTTTTTGTTTTAATATATTTTTTTTTAAGCGCTATAGTTCTCTTTTCTTTCAGGTTTTATTCCGTATGTGGCTGTTTAAGACGCGACGGCGTTTTTCATTAGACAGTGTTTTGTATTCTTTCTGTTTTTTTTTTTTTTTTCTTAATTTACATTAAGGGTTCAACGATGTTGAAGTGTCTGTCCGTTGGCAACGAGCAGTTTTAGGGTTATGGGAAAATTCTTCTTTAGTATATAAGCGTTTGGTATCGACAATGACGTTGACGTTGTAATAATAACATTTAAAACATTTAGCAGAGCATAGCTGCTTAGTAGTTCGCAGAGTCATTATACGTAATCCTACAATAGCCCGAAAAATAAGAGCAAAACGACACACGAATTCGGTTTTAGGTTCGTCTTCTCTGATAATTGTAACTGGTTTTCAACTGATTACTTCTCTCTCTCTACAGTTATTATGAGAGCAATAACTGTAATGTACATTAAGTTTAACATTTTCTCTCTCTCTCTCTTTCTCTCTGAGAGAAGTTGTTTTAAGTATTGTTGTCTTTTTCTTTACAAAAAAAAACAAATTTTTTTTGTTTTTCTTTTGCGTTAAACACGCTATACTTTATTTGCAAAGAACTTTTTTTTGGACTTTCACGATTGAGGGTCTTTGCCCATATAATCTTCACAAACTGTTTCTTTCTTTTTTTTAATATTATTATTTATCACAATTTATTTGTTTTTATTGTATTTTTGAATTAAAAAAATGTATTTGTTGTTGATGTTTCTTTTTTTTGTTTTCAATTGAATTTCATTTATAAATTATGTATAAACATGAGCTCTTATTAGACGTTATTGCCTAACATTTTTAATACACCTTTACCGTAAGAGCTCTCTCAACCGACTGCAAGAGACTTAGCTATTGGTTTATTGGTTACTTGAACATTATGCGAAAATTTTTTTGCTGACTCAGGCAAACATGCACACGCTCTCGACAACTTACAGACTCTCTGTTAAGGGCTCTCGTTCAAAAACAAAAAACAGCTGTTTTTCGATTTATTATGTAAATCTCTCTCTTCCTCTCTTTCTCACTCGCTCTTTTACTCTCTAGATAAATAATTCTCAATATTCAGTTCTCTCTCAAATTTCATTTATCCATAGCTAGTAGTAGTAGTAATGTGATAAAATTTCTCTTTTACTCTTCGACTTTAAATATTTTTTAACCACCAATTACATTTAATGTATGTCTCTATGTCTCTCATTAGTTGTTCGGTATATTTGCCATATTTATTTGCGTTCTCCAAGTAACATCTTGTTATTGTTGTTTTTGTCATTTCCCTTACAATGTATTTGATTTCGTATATACAATACATATACAAATATATATTTTTCGTAAATTCAGCCATTGTGGCGGCCATCTTTATATATATTTTTTCTTTTTTTTTTTTTTGAGTTTAATTTATTTTTTGAACTTAAAATGTGTTTGCGCGATTGTATATGTGTGATTTAGGCTTATTTTCACTTAAAAAGCAAACAAACGAACATAGATATGTGTGCGCTATCATCATATGATTTAGTTCTCTCTTTCTAACATTTTCCACTCAATTTGCATGTTTTTCGGCGTTGTTATCTATATTTGCATCTAAGCGAGTGCAGTTAACATTAATAAGCTACATATATATATATAAGCATATTATATAGATAATATTGTCATTGGCTATTTACACTGGTCTTTTTCTTTAGGTCTTTATATGCTTTGACGGGAAAGCTTAAAAAGTTACAAGTAAGGTCCTTGCTTCCAAAAAAAAAGAAAAGAAAATACGTGCATAATTTCATTACTTATGTGTTATTGTTATCAACAAAAGATGAGGAAAGAAGTAGCTATAGAAATTTTGTCTTTCTTGGCAGATCTAGTTCATGTCGCCGCGAAAGTAGGAATTTTTTTTAACGGCTCACTTCTTCCAGCAGCAAAACAAAAAAAAAAAAATTACAAAAAGGAGTAAAAAAGAATAAAATTTAGAAGGAAAATAGCATAGCTTTTAAAGAGCAGGGCAGTTCTCAAAAACGAAAGAAACCCTTTGCCACCCTGAAGACAACCTTGGAAACCCTTGGTGTGGTCAACGTAAAGGTCATTTCTCGAAATCCCTCGAAGTGAATTGATTTATCATTTATTGAGCTTAGTGTGCAGTTCTTAAAATCTCTCAAAAAACTCGTGTCTCAAATATTCAAGGTCATGTTACAGGCTTAGACTGTTTCAAAATAGTCGTGTCTTCAATATTCAGCTCATGTTATACACAGTCTTAAACTGTTTTAAAATAGCCCAATCTTCAATATTCTGCTCAGATTCGATCTGTATATTCGTAAAGAATTGCATGAACGGTAGGACATTATTTTCGGTCTTTAAGTGTTTCAAAATTGCTATGTTTTCCATATTAAGGCCATTACAGGCTAGATCCATCGATACAAATGATTACAGCCACGATGTAACAATCATTTCGAATCGAGCGTCGAAATTTCTAATGAGAATATATTGAAATCTCAATGCTTTTTAAAATAATCTGGATCTTGATATTAGATCTTCGAACGATAATATCTTGCATTTTATATGAATAACTAACTTATACTTATTAATTAAACATAATTAAACTGAAGCGAGTAAAAATACTATAATGAGCCACGAGCCATCATTAAATACCCTACATCATGCCACAGTTATTCATTCAACGACGTTTTAATACAAGACTTTGTATGGAGTGTGGTTGAAAGAATGATTCGATCAGAATCTTTGGTCAAAAGATCCAAATTTTACCCAAAGAGCTCACAAGAAAACTAGACGGACAGATTGGGTTTAGATCACTGCAAAAATTGATTCTGAATCAATCAGCGTAATAAGGAATGATTTTTCTTAGGTCCTTCTGGGTGTTGCATACATCCGCAAAAACTTAATATATCCTTCTACCACAAGCGTTGTAAGTTTTAAAAATGAAGAAAAGATGCACCTATAAGGCTTTTAACTTTGTAAGTAATCTTTGGAAAGTACGTGAGTGCAGGAGATTTACATCTTCAAATAAATTTAGATATATTTTAATAATTTCAGATTGATTTAGAAAATTTAAGACGTTGTAGATAGAGTGTAATTCACTATAAAGGTCAGTTTATCTAGTAATTCTTTTCTTTCTTTCCTTTTCTCCAAATTTAAACCAAGTTTTAGTTTATTTAAGATTTTTCACGATTTAAAAATGATTGCTTTGAGATGCAAATAGAAGAGATTTATTAAGAAGTAATGAAAGACAACACTCTACAATTTGAAGGGAGTGAAAATATCAGTTATTTACAAATTATTCTAATTTTAGAAAGTAACTGAAGCAAAGCGCTAAAAAGCAAATCAAGCCCAACTTTGTTCTTCTAATTAACATGTCAGCTGCGTAACGGCAGTTTCATTAAATTATGGCTAAATGTATTCCGCTATTTCCGTCGATTAAATACGTGAATGCTTTATAGAATCTCCTATGGCATATTTCATTACAAATATATCATAAATTTTCCATATCGAATCCAATGAGTATAAAAAAAAAAAAAAAAAAAAAAAAAAAAAAAAGAGTCAAAAAGAAAATGCCGTCGGCAATTCATTTATACATATATTCGTATTTCTTTCAGTTATATTAAATTTTCGCTTAAATTCATATATACTTTTCATAAAAACATAAAAAACAAATCAAAACACACTCCCTCATACCCACCACATGCTCGCTAGATATGAAATTATGCCTGCATATAGTAAAAACAACTGTGAAGCTTCATTTATAAAAACAACAACAATGACAACAACAACATCATAAAAACAGTCTAAAAACATGAAGGTCGTTGCCATAGCAGTCATAATAAACACACATTTATACGCACAAATACAAACGCGCATAAGCAATAAACAAAGAAAATAAATACAACAACAACAAGGAATGCCGATTGAAGTAAAATAAAGTAAATCGTAAACTAATTGGAGACGTTTATGCTATTTTCGCTCTTTCCAAAATAACTCGCACACTTCCAACAATAACAACTTGAAAAGACGAACCGACAAGAGAATAAAGCAATTTCCAAACATGCGCACTCTCCACTCTTCAATTTATATTCGGTTTTTTTCTCTCTCTCTCTCTCTCTCTTCTCACAAACTCAAAGAAAATCAGACCGGATTTGTGTTGGTTTTTTTTCTTTCTTT